GGGGGGGGGGGGAGGGGTGCTGACAGGCTGGGATTCTCTTGATCTGAAAAATGATGGAAAAGTGTAACGACTCGTCAACGTTCAGTCCAAAGTCTTAAACAACACACCATTCTCACTCAGAGGCTTGTTTGTGCCCAGGGCAGGGAGGCTGCTGGCTCCCCAGAGGGTAGCCTCCAGATGGCCAAGATGGAGCCTCAGGTGGGAAGTAAGGCCTCCACCTCCCAATAGGTTTGGGCCTCCTGACTCAGTGAGTCCCTGGATTTGAGACGAGCTCACACAGGTAGATACCCTAAGGATCTAGGAACCTGGGGACCAGGGCAGGGGCCCTGGGTTGGGGGCTGTGGTGACTCAGTACACTGCAGAAGGCCTGGAGGTGGGTCCAATGGCTGTCCAGATGGCCCTGAGTGGGGTGGAGGCTTCTGCATCAGTCCTTCAGGCTGTAGACTCGGGTGGTCCTTAGAGAGGGGACCAAGGCCCTTCAGGCCAAAGGCAGAAGGGCAGGTGGCAGGGGCTACTCAGGGTGGGATGGGGTGGGGCAGCCCCGGGTGGAGGACTCGAGCTGTCTGGGGTGCCGGCTGGGCCCCACGCCTGTGTTCCCTCAGCCCAGTGGCTGAGTGCCTGCTGAATAGGAAGAAGCCTGAGCTATCCTGGGAAATGGGGGGGTGCGAAGGATGGGAGGATAAGGGCTGCCCAGGCAGAGGGCTGGCCCAAAGGGGAGCCTGTGAGGTTACGGTGGCACTTCGCGAGATGCTCAGACTGGGTCTCGGTAGAAGAAATTTCACCAGCCACTGTCCTGGACTCTAGGTTCTCTCCCTGAGATCCTTCTTCCTCCAGATCTTCCTCCAGCCATGTGAATGTGGGAGCTGGGATGACTGGGGCTCCTGGGTCTCTGTCCCTCAGGGCCTGACAGAGGCTCCGGGGTGGGGGCTGGGGGGCTGGCAAACCCATTGAGTGGAGATCTGGGGCTCAGCCTTGGGAAAAAAACCCTGTCCTGAGCCCATCACTACCAGGCCTTAAGCTCAGACCCCATGGTCACTGCTGGCCACACCAGGGTCTTTCTTTAAACAGCTTTATTGAGTTTTAATTGGCACATGATAAACTACACATTTCAAGTATACAACTAAATATATGTGGACATCTCCTTGGCCAGTGTGGCTCAGTTGTTTGGGTGTCATCCTGTGCACAGAAATGTGCCGGGTTCAATTCCCTGTTAAGGCACATGTCTGGGTTGCGGGTTCGATCCCTGGTGTGGTCTTGTGCAGGAGGCAGCTGATTGGTGTTTTGCTCTCACATCAATGTTTCCCCTTCTAAAAAAAAAAAAAAATCTTTAAAATATATTTATATATTTGAATGTTGTCTACGCTTGAGAGAACCATGCAGCACCTCTGTCACCCTGCATCTCCTGTCCCCCCACCTAGTCTACTTTCTGTCAGAACAGGTCAGTTTGCACATTCTGGAATGTCACATGAGTGGGACAGTGTGTGCTCTGTTGGCTGGCTCCTTGGACTCAACGGTTGTCATAGGATCGTGCATGTTGTGTGTGTCAATAACCCCCTTCTGCTGCTGAGCAGTGGGTTTCCCATCATGTGGACGCATGAGCTGGGTTGTGTCCTGTGTGTGGCTGTTTTGGATATGCTTGCTGTGATCATGCACACCCAAGTCTGGACAGATGAACGTGGAGTGCAATGGTTGGGTCATATGGTAGGTGTATTGTAACTTTTTAGGAAACTCCCAAACTGTTTTTCAAAGTAACTGTCCTAGTTGACATCGCCACCACAGGAAGTGAGAGTTCTGGCCCCTCCTCATCCTGGCAGCTCTGGGTACTGGTCTTTCCTGTCAGCTGCACTGGTGGGTGGGCAGGTGGTGGTGTCACCTCCAGTTGCCTGGTGATTATCGGTGGTGAGCATCTTCTCATGGGCTTATTTGCCTTCCATCTATTTTCTTTGGTGACATGAATATTCAGCCTCTTGCCCATTTTGTATTGGCACCAGGGTTTTAATGTATCTAGTCACCAATAACAATGGGGGGCGGTGTCCCACACCACAAGCAATTCTAGGACACCAACTGGATGTCCTACCATTCAACTCAACTCTGACACCATCTGGAGATGGCATCAGTAAGAGCTCAGTCCCACAGGACTATCCCTCAGCCCCACCTTCAGACTCCAGTTACAAGTCCAGGCTGTCACCTGGGCTTCCGGCTGATAGACTAAATGTGGAGGTTCTCGTGACCCCCCTCCTCAGGTTCGACTAAGTTGCCAGAGCAGTTTAGAGAACTCAAAAACATTTTACTCACTAGGTTACCGGTTTACTTATAGTAAGGATATAACTCAGGAACAGCCAGATGGAAGAGATGCATAGGCAAGGTCTGGGGAAACTGCAGTTTCCGTGTCACCTCTGGGAGTGCAACTCCTCCCAAATCTCCATGTGTTCACCAACCTGGAAGCTCTCCGAACCCTTTCCTTTGGAGCTTTATGGAGGCTTCTTTACTTGGGCATGGTTGATTGAATCCTTAGCTGTGGTGATTGATTCAACCTCCAGCCCCTCTCCCCTCCCCTGAGGTCAGGGGGTGGGACTAGCAAACTCCTACAGATGACCAGTTTTTAAAAAAAGACAGTAACAAGTGCTGATGAGGGTGTGGAGAAACTAAAGCCTCACACATTGCTGGTGGGAACGCACCATGGTGCAGCCACTTTGGGAAAAAGTTTAGCATTTTCTTAAAAAGTGAAATGTGAACTACCATCCTACCTAGCAACCCCACTCCTAGGTACTTACCCAAGAGAAATGAAAGCTGTGTCCACACAAGGACTTCAAGAGCATCCACAGCAAAACTAAGACAAAACCAGCAACAGTCCAGAGGCCCGTGTGCATGGATGGGTAACCCCGGCACATCGGAACATGGGAGGCTATTCAGCAGCAAAAGGGGTGGGGCACCGGTACAGCTGCAGCCATTGCTGCCCTCCAGCTGTGAGCCCCGCTGAGACCTCAGGGTGGGGGAGTCATGTCTGCCATGACACCAAGGAGCTACTGATCGCCTTCTCTGCCTCCCGCTGAGCAGGTGCTGGAGCACAACAGTGACCGAGAATGACTGGCTTGCCCAAGGAAAGCTGACAGTCCAGGAGCTTTAGACACTGAGACATGAGACCCTCCTCCTAGTGGGTGGGGGCCAAACCCGGCTGTACCTCAACCCAGTTGGCCAAAGAGGGTTGGAGAGAAAGTGAGAGCCCAGATATGCCCACGCAGAGGAACAGTGGGGGCTCAGCTGGCCAGGGTGCCTGTCCCCTGCAGTGAGGTGTGTGTGTGAGCGTCTGCGGGTATGTGAGGCAGTGGGGCGCGGGGGCAGATCCGGTGGGGGGCAGGCCCCGGGCTCCCCTCCCCCAGCCTGCATCTCCCCAGCAACAGCAGCAGCCTCGGTCTGGGCCTCGGCCCCTCCCCCGCCCCGCCCCGGCTGGCTGCGGCTGCGAAGTGTCTGGAAGCACAGCGTCCTGAGACTGCATCCTGCTGCCGCAGCCCGCTGGAGCCGCCTGTGAGCCATTTCCACATTTCTCCCTGTGGAGCCTGGGGGGTGGGGGGCTAGTGTGTGCGCGGATGTGCAGGTGCGTGTGCAGGGGGACTGTATGGGGGGGCTCCGCGGCGGACCGGATGCGGGCAGCCGAGGCCGGGCCCTCCTTTGGGGTCTCTGCTGGCGCGAGTGGAGCTGTTGTCCCCAGGCCTCTCGGACGACCGGGGTCCCCCTCGGGGTCAACTGCTGTCTGGACCTTCCAGATGGGCCGCGGTGTCCAGCCTTGCACACATCTCCCGTCCTCAGTAGAGTGGGGAAGCTCGGGTGGGGTTAGGGCTGCTGGACATCAGCCCTCCCCCCTCCAGGGTGACTGCCGCCCCCCTCCCCTTGAGCCAGCTCCACCCGGGCAGATCTGAGAGAGCCAGCGGGAGCTGGGCATCCTAGGATGGGGAGGGGGTGCCAGTTCCAGAACCCCAGCTCTGTCTGTGTGGGGGAGTAGGGTGAGGGAAGAAGGAGGTTGGCAGAAGGTGCGTCGCACCACAGCAGCGAGAAACGTTGCTGGCATCTGGAGGGGGTGGGGACGCTGCGTGGCAGGCTGGAGGCGGCCAGGAGCGGGGAGAGGGGCGTTTCTCAGAACGCGGGCTCTGGATGCGGGACCACAGGTGACTGGTACGTGGAAAGCTGAAAAGCCCGGTGCAGCCCTAGGCCTCCTGACCCGCCCCCCTCTCCTGGGCCCTCCCAGGCTGGGCTGCTAGCCCGCAGTCAACCTGGCCTTGAAGCAGGAGCCGAACCCACGCCCGGCCTGCTGGGAGAGGGGCCGGAGGGCACCTGGGTGGGGTCCGGGAGGGCTGTCTGCGGGTTTCAGCGAAGACTGCAGGCCCCTGGGCTCCGCAGTTGCACGCCCTACACGCAAAGGATGCTGCTGCTGGTGCGCACTGGCGCGCGCCTCTCCTGACGCAGCATCCCGAGGGGGGGGGTGCGAAAACAAGTCCGTGACGTGACCTGCACCCGAGCTTCGTGGGCTTTCACCTACGAGTGCGTGTGCCCCCCCTTCATCCATCTATCAGCACAGACTTGCCACTCACCCTGCACCCCCTCCCCAAGCCTCGGAGAAGAGGCCTGCACGTCCCGCAGCCCAAGGAGTCAACAGCAGGTGGGGAGCAGGTGACCCGCTGGAGAAGACACGATGACAGCGCTGCGTGGAGGGAGAGGAGCGGGCGGGAGGAGTCGGGACGACGCCCCCATTCCGTGGAGTTAGTTATGTGTCTGTCGTGTGGATAAGCTCAGCCAGCCTTCCCAGTGGGTCCCGTGACAGCGAAGGAAAGGCATGTTGGGGGGAGGGGTTCCCACATGTAGCCCAGCCCCTCCCTCAGCGTTCCGCCCGGGGCACGGGGTCTGGAACGAGACGCGGAGGGTCCAGAGGGCCCCAAATTGCTACTTTTCTTCGTGAAGAGGAGGCGTCAACAGCGCATCTCCGTTGCCATGGAAACCGGCTACGGTGGAAGGTGGAAGTCATGTGCATTAGAGGAGTCGGACCTGACGTTTTGGCTCAAAGGGGACCGACCCCAGAAGCGGAGCTCCTTATGGGGACGGGGGGAGTCCCTCGGCCTTCCGGCGGGCATGGCCACCAACCTGAGACCGACCGTGCTCAATTCTGTAAACCACAGACCGGGTTTTTGAGCCACGGGGGCGTCCGCTCCGTGAACACCTCCAGGCTCCTTCCCCTGGGTGGCGCACCCCTGCTATCCCCCATCTCCCCGCAAGCCCTGGGCACTTGCAGTGCCCCACCCTTTCTTCTGCAGTCTCCCATCGGTCCCTTCTAGGGGGGAGTTTATTTTCTTCCTCGCACTGGACCTCTTTATATTTATATTCTGATGGCTCCAAGACCACCTCCGCCTCACCGGGCGCAGTCCGGGTGAAGAATGCGCTCCGGCCTGGGCCAGGTGCCGAGGGGCCCGCGCCCCTCCTAGGCTGAGCCCTGGCCAGGCCCCGCCCCTCCTCGGGAAGAGCCCAGCCCCCAGCCTGGGGGTGGCAGTGGGGGGCGCTTTGTGGACCAGTAAGGGCCCCAGGTTATGCGCACACATCCAAGGAGGTGCCCCAACTCAGGGCCCTAGGAGGACCGTCCTTTCCGGAGCGCAGGGAGTCCACCATGGGGGCGGCCGTCTCTCTGCTCAGCCCACTGCTTCCAGTCCCTGTGGCAGTGGGTTCCAGACTGCACTCCTCCCCACCCCCCCCAAACACACACACACACACAGGCCCCCCACAGCCCTGGACACCCTGCCCTCCCTCTGCCACACTCTAACCTGCATCTCTCTGCCTCTCTGCCTGGGCAGGCCTCCTCCTCTGTTCCTACCCCGCCTGCCCACACCTGGGACCCGCTGGGGCATGAGAGAGTGGTCACCTGAGGGCCTGGTGGGTACGGTGCTGGTGCAGCTGTTACAGGGAGAGCATTTGGGGATGGTGAGGTCACCCTAGGACAGGAGTTTGGGGGTTGAGAAGCACAGCAGTCTTTGCAGGGGGGTGCAGGCAGTGGAGAAGGAGGGGCCGTGTTTAGAGGCTGTTGGCTTCCTTGCACTTTAGTAACAAATTACCACAACTGGGTGGCTTGAAACAGCAGACATTTATTCTTTCAGAGATTTGGAGGCCAAAAGCCAAAATCAAGGTGTTGGCAGAGTCATGTTCTCTGAGGCTCCAGGGGAGGCTCTTTCCTGCCTCTTCCAGCTTCTGGTGGCTCCAGTGTCCCTTGGCTTGTGGCTTCATCACTCCAATTCTGCCCCCGTCTTCACATGGCCTCCTCCCTGCATGTCTGTGTCGAGATTTCCCACTTCTTGTAAGGAAGGACACCAGTCATTGGATCAGGGCCCATCGTAGTCCAGTGTGACCTCATCTTAACTTTATCATATCTGTAAAGACCTATTTCCAAATAAGGCCACATTCACAGGTGCCATGGGTCCAGGATGTGGACAGAGCTTTTTGAATCCACAATAAGCCCTTTGTCACTTTGGGGTTGCAAATACCTTCTTGGTTTCTGTTTTCGTTCTTTGAAAGCTATGTTTTGATGAGCAGAAGTTTTTATTTTAATGCAATCCTTTTATCAATATTTCCTTTATAATTAGTGCTTATTTATCATATTGAAGAACTGGTTCCCTCCCCAAGACCAGGAAAGTATTCTGTATTATCTTCAAGACATTTTTCCAACTTAGGCTGACTTATTGAGAGTAGGCTTCTATGTGCAGTGTGAGGTAGGGATTGAGTTTGTTATTTTCCACATGGATGAGTGTTTATCAAAAGGTGGCCAGCCCCCTTGCTTTGCAGCAACATCTGTCATAAATCCTTGGTCCCAGTGTGTAAGGTGTGTTACCTACGTCTTTATCTACCACATCAATACCACACAGCTTAATCCCACTGCTGTGTAACAAGCTGGACACCTGGCACGAATCCTGCTTGTCCTTCTCAAGAGGCCAGGTGTGTTCTTGTTCCTCTCACTACCATATAAAATTACAGTGCTTGTCAAGGTCACACACAAAAATCTTGTTGGAATTCTTATTGGGATTTATTGATTGCACATATACATTTTAAGGGGAATTGATATTTTAAAATGGAACATTCCAAAATCCATATCTTTCCCCATCTATTTAAGGAATTTGGACCTTATATGGTCTCAGTCACTAATGTTTTGACTGAGTTTTCCATAGTTTCCTACATGGAGATCCTTCTCATCTCTTGTTAGACCTATTCCTCAGCATTTGCTATTTCTGATACTGTTTAAGGAATCTTTTGGGGGGGAAAAGTATTTTCTATTTTTTTGTCACTGATATATAGAAATAGAATTGATTTCTGAATACCTTAAGTCCATCAACTTGCTGAATTCACCTTTCAGTCTTCATAACTTATCTGTAGGTTCTCTTGGATTTTCTACTCAAAGAGATGCTTTATCTGTGAATAATGCATGTATGACCTTCTCTTGTCCAGGCCTCTCCCCTCCCTTCTTTTCCCTGTCCCACAGCTTGGCTAAGTCCTCTAGCACTATGATTTACAGAACTCATAGTAAAGGGCCTTTTTGTCTCCGCCCTGATTTTTTTTTTTTAATATGTTTTATTGATTTTCTTAGAGAGGGAAGGAGAGGGAGGGGGAGAGAGAGAAACATCTGCACGCCCCCTACTGGGGACTGAGCTTGCTTTCCAGGTGGCCCAGTCCTGTGCACACAGTTGCTACTCTGTTCTGCCCAGCTAGCATTTGGGTTTACTCGTTGACATCTTCTGTAACTCATTACTTCCTGCATCTTCAGGAGGGTTGCCAGTTAAAACACAGGATGCCCACTTAAATTTGAATTTCAAATAGACAACAAATAACTTTTTAGAATCAGTATGTCCTATATTGCAAATTGCATGGGATGTACTTATACTAAAAAAAAAAAAAAAAAAAGCATCTTTTTTGTCTGAAATTTAACTGGGTGTCCTTTTTTTTTTTTTTTTTTTTTTCTCATCTGAGGATATTTTTTCCCATTGCTTTTCAGAGAGAGTAGAAGTGGGGGAGGGAGGAGGAGAGAGAGAAGCATCAATGTGAGAAAGACACATCGACTGGTTGCCTCCCACACATGCCCCGACCGGGGGTGGGGAGCCAATCTGCAACCCAGGTATGTGCCCTTGACCTGCAACGGGAATCAAACCTGCAACCCTCCAGTGCGCAGGTTGATGCTCTAACCCCTGGGCACACTGGCCAGGGCTGTCCTGTTTTGTTTTTTCTCCATTGCTTTTTCAGAGAAAGTGGAAGGGAGAGAGATGTCCTGTATTTTTATTTGCTAAGTCTGGCCACCCTATCTCAGGCTTCTATCAGGGATTGTTTTCTGTTGACTGGAATCGCTGCCCTTAGAATGTCCTCTAGCAGGTCAGCCAGTGGAAGACTGTCGTCATTGTGTGTCTAGGCAGTCACTGGTCTGTGGTGCCATTCCCTGCATTGCTTTGGGGCCCAGGGGGAGCCCAGGGGCCAGGAAGGGACTAGAAGCCTGTGGCTGGACTTGCCAGGTTTGTCCTAGGGAGTTTGGCCTGGCCGCCCACGACCCATCCCAGCTCTGGTGTGAGGAGCATTGGGGCCAGCTCTCTGTGGGCCCTCTCTGTCCAGAGCCAGCTGGGGTGGACATCTGCTAGGTGGTCAGTGGGTAATGACTCTGTGTCTGCCTCTGGACAGGACAAGGACCACCATCCACCATGGTGAAGCTGGGCTTCAGCTTCTCTGGGAAGCTGGGCAGAGACCCTGGGTATCTGGACACGGCTACCATGGACAGCGTCCCTCTGATCAGCCCCCTGGATGTCAGCCAGCTCCAGCCACCATTCTCTGACCAGGTGAGGGGCCTGGGCCAGTGGGGGATCCTTCTCAGCCTGCACTGGGAACAAAGGGGCGTGGAGTGAGATTTATTTAGATGTGGCGTCCTCCAAGGTGCAGGAGAGCAGGCAGAGGAAGGGCCAGCTGGGTGGAAATCCCTGGGCCACATGCAATCAGCTCCCTTGTCACCCAGAGTCACCCTTTCCTCATCTGTAAACAGGGTAACCTGGCCACAGGTGACTGAAAATGTGTGCACTATTTAGAAGACAGCACCCAGCCCATGGTGCTGCCCAGTGTGTGCTCAGCAAGCAAAATTCCCGCCCGCCCCTGCTGGGCACACTGTGTCCTGGGTCAAGTCTGAGACAGAGTCCTGGTCAAGTGTGTGGTGGAGAGGGAGCTTTCAGCAGAAATCAGTGAGAAGCAGAGTTAAACATAGCCCTGCCTGGTCCCATGTGTGCTCCAGAGTATGAGTGGCACCAAGACTTGCTCTAGGAGGGGTGAGGAGGTGGCCATCTGTACCCATGTCTATCAGCTATTGGTTGGGGACCATGAGGAGAGCCCCCCTCCAGGCATTGGCTGGGGGCAGTTCCCCAGGGATCTGGGCTTCTGCTGCATCTACTAGTTTTGGACCCAGCTCTCAGTGGACACCATGGGAAGGCTCAGTCCTTGCTCCTAGGGAACACACAGAGCAAGCTACCTATGCCCCCTGTGGAAGGGCCCTTGATACTCTGTGAGCCAGAAGAGAGGTCAGGGCTGACTTCCTGGAAGAGGGGGCAAAGCTGTGGGTCCACAAAAGGGGAAGCTCCTTGTGAGGAGAGGTGGCACCCTCAGAGCTGAAGGCAGTCAGCGTATGGAGGGGCTCCATCTATGGTCTGGCCAGGCCTCGTGTCTGCCACGGACCCAGCAGACTTGCAGCATCCACTTTCCCTTGGCCTCAGTTTGTAGCCACTGGAGCCTGACTACTAGACAGTCCTGGCAGACTGTCAGCACCCACACCACTGCCGGGCGGCTGAGCCCTGGCCCCCTCCCTGTCCAGCCCTCCCAGCTCAGTGTCCTCCTGGGTCATCTCTTTGCACAGATGGTCATCAAGACACAGACAGAATATGGGCTGCCCTCCACAGACCAGCTGAAGAAGTTTCCGGACCTGGAGGCCCAGAAGCTGGCCTGCACCAACCCAGAGGAAGGACGTGGGGTAACTGAATCCTCCCCATTCAGTGCTGCAGGGTCAATCCTGTGGGAAGTCAGATCAGGGTCAAGGTGCTGAGGCAGCCACAGGCCTGTGATTGCCCGGGGCTGGGCCATGTGAGCTGATCGCCCTCGCTCAGGTTCCTGCTGTCAGGGAAGTTGGACACACAAGCACCCATTCAGAGGTAGGGTGGGGTGGGGACTAAGGACAGGTGCTTAGGGGTAGAGGTGCTGAGGGACTTGGGGCTGAGCAGCACCAGGCTGGCATGTGGCTGGCCAGGCCCGAAGCCTCCCTCCTGCTGTACAGTGGGTAACAGCCACTGTGGGCAATGCTTGAGCACTGTGCATCCGTCTTCCCAGAAGGTCATTTGTCTGTTCCTTAGTGACTCATTGGTTTTCTACATACTATGGAAAGTCACTTTTCCTGTTATGTACTCTGGCAAATATTTTCTCCTATCCTTATTTTAGCTCTTAACTTTATTAATGATTTTTCTCATTTTTTCCTGTACTATTTCTAAAGCCTTTCATTTTTCAATAGTAAAACCTGCCCCTTTCCCCTGTTGTTTCTGAGATGGAAACGCCCCCCTCAACCAGAGGCTATCAGGGAGCGGGGGCTATCAGGGAGCAGGGGCTCATCTGTGTGTGCAGCCCCACCCTGAGGGCTGCCCCAGGAGCCCAGGCTGGGTTCAGTGCCCACCACACACTGGGTTCCTCTCCTTCCCCCACCTGCAGATGCCCACAGCACGTATGCTCGCCTTCGTCATGGCTCTCATGGGCTGTGTCCTGATCATGTACAAGGCCATCTGGTATGACCAGTTCACCTGCCCAGATGGCTTCCTGATGCGGGTAAGCAGGCAAGCTTGGCTCCAGGGTGGGGAGAAGGCCCCCAGGAAGAGTACCAGGGGGGGCCCTGTGTTCTCCTGTGGAAGCCTGGGGATGGGTGCCCCTAGGTGAGCCCAGGGTGTGTCCCACTCCTGTGGGAATGTGATCTCCAAAACTCCTTGTGTTCCCAGAACATATTCAAATCCTCTTTTGAAAGATTAAAAGAAAAGGTGTTTTAGGAAGAAGTTTTATCTTCCTGTAAGTTAAAAGTAAGTAAACCCTAAGGTAGGAGGTGCAGCAGACAGAGGTGAGTGGGGTGGTCGGGCCTCCCTGGTTCAGCATCTCTCTACCCTGGTCTCTTCCTCACGGACTTATGCGGGGGCTCCTATGTAATATGGCATTAACATTTTCTCCATAGTTGGCAAATGTTTTCTCCTTTCTCTTTTTTCTCTCTTAACTTTAGTAAGGATTTTTATCATTTTTAGTGTATTTTTCTAAAGCCTCTAATTTTTTAATTATGTTTTTAAATTTTAATATGTTTTTATTGATTTCAGAGAGAGGAAGGGAGAGGGAGAGAGAGAAATATCGATGAGAGAGAATCTTCAGTGGGTTGCCTCCTGCACACCCACTACTGGGAATGAGCCTGCAGCCTCGGCATGTGCCCTGACCAGGCATGGAACATGACCGCCTGGTTCACTGGTTGACACTCAACCGCTGAGCCACACTGGCTTGGCAAGCATCTGATTTTTCAGTAGTGAAATCTGTTCTTTTCCCCCTAACCTAGTGTTTATGAGATAGAAGTGCTCCCCCCCGCCCCCCACACACCCAGGGGCCTGGGAGGCCTTTCTGTATTTCCCAGGGGTTTCCTATCGGTGATTAAAGCCCCCCACTCACTGGGATGCCCTCGGGTGTCCTCTGGGTGAGGGGGGTGGGCTGGGATGTACTGGTGGAGCCCCCCCTTTCACTCCTGAGGAGCTGGTCACCCTGGCTCTGAGAGGGGTTGGCTCTCCATAGAGCCCTCCCTACTTCTGTATCAGGCTGGCTTCTGGCGGCTTGAAATCGCGGCAGAAACAAATGTACTTCGGGTCACTGTGTGCAGTGCGGCCGAGCTGCTCAAAAGCAGAAAGGTGGGGAAGGCCTGGAGGTCTCGGCGCTCCGCCCTGTGGCACACAAGCGTGGCCGCTCCGTGGCCGCTCCGTGGCCGCTCCGCGTCCTGCAG